CTAAACCCTAAACCCCAACTTAAACCGTACCCGTAAACCCCCTTAATTAAATCCCCAGACAGCGCCCGCAAACCGGATGCCAGGCGTGCCAATGGTTCCGGAACACAACTGAAGAGGAGGTGGCGAACGTCCGGGACCGTTGAGGGTATCTAGAAGGGCTCGTTGTATTCGACGGTTCTGCAGGGCTCACAGGGTTTAGTGCGGTTTCCAAGTCGGGTTGTCTTCGTTTTTTAGCTCCATATTTTGCTCTTCCCGCCTTGTGCTTCCCCTTATATCCCTTTCGTATTTATTTGTATGCGTCGGTCATCATCAGTCCATCACTTAAATTAAATCCTTCCTGAAGTTGGTCCCGAAGCCTGGTAATGGCGTCATCCTCATCTTCGCAATGTCCTCCGGAGGCGCAATGCGGCACGCACACGGCGCTCCAGGACGAAGAAGATTCCCTGGAAGATGCCCTGCTACGCGAGGCAATCGAGGCGGCTCTTCAGGAGCCGGAGCCGCCAGTCGTTGTGCTTGGCTCGTCGGCTTCCAAAAAACGGAAGTTGGCTCCCGTCGCAAACGCTGCCCGCTCCACAGCCACAGTGGCACACACTCGCCGAAAGGTGGGACATTGTCCGCCGCCTGTCGCGCGAGTGCTGACGTGCCTTCAGGCGATCGAAACCTAACGTCGGGCCTTCTCCTGGAACCCGCCGTCCATCTATCTAGTCCAACTTTTGTGCATTTCTTCTTCTAGCGATTCTAGTGCCCTAAAACCCTAAATGCTTAGACACAGTGAAACCCTAAAGCCCTAAAGCCGTGCAAAGCCTTAAAGGCTTACAGCCCCAAACGCTACAACCCTCAGCTCTTATAAAGCCCTTACAGATTTTCATAGATCCATCATACATCCTTGTAGAGCCCTTCTAGTATCCGTTCAAGGAGCCCTAAAACCGAATCCTCGAGTTTCTGACCCCCCTAATTCCATCAACGCCCATTCCTAAGGCCCCAACGCCTCAAACCCTAAAGCCCCAAGGCCCGAACCCCAAATACACGTCCTAAACCTTGAATATGCATAGACAACAAAGGAATAAGTAGATAAGCTTATACAGGTGTATATCTCCCTCTCTCTATATATACGTATGTGTATATAGATGTCTAGACATATAGATTTAGTACAGATAGATAGATAGATAGATAGATAGGTAGGTAGATAGACATACATAGACATATGTACACACACAGTGACATTGGCATAGACATAGACATCGACATAGACATACATAATTGCCTATACATATGTACCAAGACATGTCTATCTATTTACCTGCCTGTCTATCTATCTATCTGTCTATCTATCTGTCTATCCGTCTATCTATCCATCCATTTATCCATCCGTCTATCTATTTATTATCCATCTCTCCATCTATCTATTCATCTACTTATCTATCTATCTATCTACCTACCTATCTATCTATCTATCTATCTATCCATCTATCTCTCTATCTATCAATCTATCAATCTATCTATCTACCTGCCTACCTACCTAGATACCTACTTACCTAGCTACCTACCTAGCTAGCTACCTGCCTACCTACTTATCTATCTATCTGTCTATCCATCTATCTATTTGTCTGTCTTTCCATATTCACATATATAAACCAAACACCAGAAACGCCCAAAACCCCAAAACCTAAAAGCCTTAAAACCCAACACCAATGACCAAAAAACGTCTATCTGTGTGTGTCTCCTTTATTGCCCTGGGGAGGTCGCAGCTGTGCCGGCCTTGCGGGTTTCTAGGGTCCCGCCTCGGCAGCTGCTGCCATCGAAGATCCGAGGCGTGGGGCCAGGTTTTAGGCTTTTTGGGTTTTAGGCTTTTCTGGTATTTGGTTTTGGGTTTTAGACTTTTTGGGTTTTCGTTTTTTTGGTCATTGGTTTTGGGCTCTAGGGCTTTTAGGTTTTTGGGTTTTAGGCGTTTCTGGTGTTTGGTTTTTGCTTTAGGGTTTTTGGGTTTTAGGCTTTTTGGCAATTGATTTTGGGTGTGAGGGTTTTAGGATTTTAGTTTGTTTTGGCATTAGGTTTCGGGTTCTAGGGTTGTAAAGTTTTAGGGTTTAGGGCTTAGGGTTTTCGGGGTTTTAGGGTTTTCGGGTTTCAGGGTTCTAGGGTTTAGGGTCTTGAAGTGTTTAGGGCTTAGGGGTTTGGGGTATTGTAAAGGTTCCTTTAAACCCTAAGCCATGCCTGTAAGGGTATGAAAAAACTGCCCTTAGCAGTTCGACTGGGGTTTAGGGTTTAGGGTTTAGGGTTTGGGGGACAGATCAGAACCCTAAACCCTAAACCCAAACCCCTCAACCCTAAACCCTAAACCCGAAACTGATGATTCGATTTTCTAGGGCCGAGGTTGCTCGGGCTTTTTGAACCGCTTCCTAGAGCTATTTATTCTAAAGGGTTGTGTAGGCTTTTGTGAGGGTTTACTGGGTCTGTGTGCGGTTTTGTGAGACTTTACAAGGGTTCATAAGGGCTTAATGCTGGCGCTATAGGGTTTTATGTTTTTTTTTGATGAGGGTGTTGTCAAGAGTTTGGCTGCATTCTTGCAGCACGTTTTTGTGGCTTTATGGCTTTTAAGTTTTCAAGCAACGGGGATCTACAGGCGGTTTTGCCAGGGTCGTAGAAGGGTGATAGACGAGTGTTGTTCTAGGGGTTCTACAACTTTTTCCGGCAGGGTTTCATAACGTGGTGTTAACTGCGAGGGCTCGATCCCCTCCTTGGTAGGAAAGCCAAGCCCAACTCACCCTACACCCTAAACCCTAAGACCCTAAACCCTAAAACCCTAAGACCCTAAGCCCAGAACCCCTAAACCCCTAAAC